TCACAGACTTAGTAGTGGGTGGTTGGATCTAGTCATGAGTGGTCGAAGGATTGTCAGATATGATCATGGGTGATCAAATAGGGGTGGCCTATTGCCGGATTTGAAGAATAAAAAATGGAAAAATGTAGAGTATAAGCAATAAAATATAGTAAAAATTGAGGTGAAATAGATAAAAGTGAAAATAATAAGTGGGAGATTAAAAGTATAAAGAAAATAATATTTTTAAAACATTAAAATTAATAAAATAATGGCATATTAAAAAAAAATTAAAAACCCGGTTGTACCGGTTCGACCCTGTAAACCCATGACCCAAATGGTCGTCCGGTTCTATAGCCGATCTGATTCTGAAAACATTGGTTTAATTTCAATTTTGATAAATGGTACATAATTAAAAAAAAAAAAAAAATACAAAGAAATCCAAAAAAATACAAAGTTGGGGTAATTAATGTAATCTGAATTTAATGAGTTTCTTTGGGGCATTGTGCGTAATTTGAGTCCATTGAGTTTATGTCAAAAATCGAATTAAAAATTGGATTTATCATAAATGAGAAATTCATTGAGGGGGTTTTGTCAAATAACCCCTATATATAATATATATATGTTCAAATTTCAATATTGCATCATAAAATATGATACAATTAAAGTCATAATTGCTCATAAAATAACATCAACAGAGTTTAAATTTGAATCCCTAATTTCTAAAAAAAACTAATCTATCACTCGTAATCTTCAAGATCAATGTCACTTAAATTTTTTTCATTCACTAATTTCAAACGAGTGTATTCATCTTCATATTCATCGATCTCTTCAACTTCATCACTTCAACTTTGACCTTTCCCTTTTTTTTTCTTATCAATATCAAACTTGACGTTTAAATTTCTTGGACCTATTAATATATGTAAAAGAAATTAAATAATATTGAAATCCGTTTTCAGACTCTCATTATGTGAATATTTCGTTTCTTTCTTTTTTCTTTTATTTTTTTATTTTTTTTTTCAATTCTTTTAGTATTTTGACTAATTCATAAAAATCGTATCGTATCATGATATGGCGATACGATACGATATCTCGCGCTATTTACCGATATTTATGCACATACGATACATATTATGAATTGTATCTTTTTTATTGGTACTGTACCGTCTCACGATAAATATCGTCGTATATCGAGAGTTTAACTACTACGCACTAGACATGGAATTGCCTAGATGATGGAGGGATCCATATTGGGCGGATCTAAATGAGGGGCTGCCAAGATTTTGAAAAAAAGGAACAAAAAATTAGGTATTTTTAATTAATATTTTGTAAATATAGGTTTTGGCCCCCAATTTTTTTATAAATATAGGTTTTGCCTCTTCACTTTTTTTTTTGTCCCTACTCTAACTCTTAACTAAATGTATATATTTTTTTGGGTAAAATTCATTTTGCACCCCTGTACTATGCGAAATATATCATTTATCCCCTGATGTATTGAAAACATCAAACACCCCATGACGTTAGTTTTTTTTTGCTAATTTCGTTAGTCAAAGTGTCAAACCTTTTGACTGGCTGTTGCTAAAAGTTGTTGGCTTTTTTCTGACGAAAATACCCCAAAAAATCTCTATGTATAGACGGCTTAGTTTTGGCCATTTTCACTAGATTTTCAACCCTTTTTTTTCACTTTATTCAATCATTTTTTCACTATTTTCATCTTTTTTTTTCTCTTTCCTTTATGCATAAAAAAATTGAAAAGTCGAATCAATAAGAATGACGCTTTGCAGATCCTGAATGCAAAACCAAAAAATAAAAAAAAAAACTGAAAACCTCTACAATCTAAAAGAAACCCTAAAGTTGAGATAAAACCTTATGAAAGAATTGCAAATTGAAAACAAAGCTTTCATATTATAATGGTAATGGAAACCCCCAACCCCCACCCCACCCCCCCAAAGAAAATATTGAAAACCCCTAAAATCAAACACTAAAATCGACAAAAAATCCTAATTTAAATGAACGCTTACAATCGTTAAGAATCCACAATATAAAATTCAAAAAAATTGGGATTATATCATACATAAATCAAGGTAAAAGAGTCATTTCTCGCTCAAATTTAACACCGATAAAAGTTTGACCATTGACTGTAAAAAATAGGGGGGGCGTTTGATTTGTTCTATACTTCAGGGGGTAAATGATACATTTCGCATAGTATAGGGGTGCAAAATGAATTTTACCTTTTTTTTCACATTTGTCATTACAATTTATAATATTTTAAATAAATTTTTAAAAAGTTGATAAAATAACATTTTATTATTATAATTTTTTTAGAAAAATCCATAATTAGATGACCGATAATGCAAATCAACTCGTCCATTGTTTACCCGACAAAAGTCGATTGCCAGCCATTATCGACCCACAATGGTCGGCCCAATAATGATTTTCAATTGTCATAGATAGGACCATGGTTATTAAAATCTTACCATTCAATTGGATTCCTACCTAATTCGATTCAAATCTTACAACAAATCTTACATGTTAAAAAATTGATCAAATTTTACGATTTATGATTCGATTATTACGATTTACGATTATTACGATTTGAGAAAATTTTAATTTGTTATATTATTTATAATAAATTTCAATTAAAATTAGACTTTAACTAGAAATAGTTAATGTGATTATTACGTTAATGTCAACACTCTATTCCCTGAAATACGTCAAGTTTATGTCAAAAGAAAATGACAATATAGTAGTACTTTTGCTTATATTTCTCATCTATAGTAGGAAAATCAATCGGAATGGATTCAATTCTATGTATTCTAAATAAATATTATTTTATTTTAGTTAGTTCTCAAAAAACATTTGTATTTTTACTCGAATTTCTCACACGTCACCGATTTTAATAGCATAAGTGCTTGCATTAGGTCATTTATTTATTTATATTTAATTCAATTAATTCTTTATATTTTTAAAGATACAACTTTTATAGTTTGACTTTATAAATTTTAAAAGATATATAGATTTGTTATACCACTATATAATTTCTTTAAAATATTTTTATATAATTATTATCTATATTATTATTGAAAGAATTACAAATCTTACTATTTACGATTTGAATGTTTGACAAATTGATTTTCGATTTACGATTTAACATCCATGGATAGGACTACCCAACTGTTAGACCGATTTGATTAGGACTGCCCTACTTTTTGATGGATTAATTAATCCTAATTAATCTCTTAAAATTTAGTTTTTGGATAGATATTTTACAATATATATACATTGTACCAAAAAATGCGAAATCACTCGCCCTCAGGGGTCCCATCTCTTGGCTCGATAAGTATTTGATGGAGGAATATAAACTATAGTGACTCAACGGCCCGTTAAGGTAGCGGTCCCGAACCTGGTGCCCACAAGGAACCAACCTCATTGAAGTTGAAATTCTCACACTGCGGCTGCCAGGATTCGATCCTATGTTTTTGTCAAGAATCTTGTAGATAGGTTTGTCCATAACTCTTCTACTGATTTTATTACAAAAATATTAAGAAATTTAATACCAATGCACTACCAAATATTCGGTACGATACTATATGGTAATTAATGGTTATTATCGAATTTTGGTATAGATTCGGTAAGGCAAGGTAGAGTACTTGTATGTTAAGGCATTTATTATTTTACATATTGTAAATTAATAGGGGTTTTTGTGCATAAGTGCCCGATCAACCATCTTTATTATTTTAGGTTCAGTGTTTTTTCGCCAATAAGTCCATCTCTTTAATATGTATTATAAATAAAGGAAAAATTAATGTATATGACAAAATTACCCCCAATCTTTAAACCAAATTCATAACTGTAACCTCAGTTCAACTTCAATTTTGAGCAAAAAAATCCAATTTTAACTTTTTTTTTCTAAAATATTTTTTTTTCGGCGTTTTTTTTTTTCTGCATTCTTTTTTCGCCGTCGGTTTCCGGCGTTGACCGCCTAATATGCCTCTAGGCAATTCCATATATAGTGGACAATTGTAGATGGACAAGTGACAATTATGATTCCTATTTTTGAAAAAAAAAAAAAAAAAAATTTTTTGAGTTGCCTAGTCCATCTAGCTAATCCGGCCCAATACAGTAGAACTGTCACTTTCATTTAATGCTGCAAAATTAATATGGATGAAGAAGCTAGAGATACACCACGAGGGTAGTAATTAGCAAGTTGTGTATTATTTGGTCTCGCTACAATGTGGGTGCCTAACAATGTTCTATTTTTCATTTTTTTTACTTATTAGATATTTATGTGAGTATTGAAAATATTAATATTAAATGATATATTTCACTAACAGCTTAAGTTTTTTGTTGAGATGGTCAGTGAATATGGTATTAGAGCCCGACCAAATGAAAAGATCTTGAGTTCGAATCCCAACGCCACTCATTTCAAATATTTCAAGTGCAAGACTTCAAATGTAATCCGCACTTGAGGGGGCGGGCGTATTGAAGATATTAATCCGTACTTGAGGGTGCGTATTGGAGATATTAATATTAAAAAACTTTTGATTGAGAAGGTCTGAGAAATTACAAAATTTCCACAATCATAGTTGAATGTGTATAATCTTCAATATCCGACTATTCTTATTAAAAAAAAATTCCGACTATTCATGCTTAGATTGCGATCGGTCGTCCACCACTAGAATCACGCGCCACCATGGTCCAACACTAATGCACTACCACTATTCGTCCCAAATTCAGCCGACGGGCAAAATGAGATTTATTCTTTTAAAACCGGTGGAATTCAGATTAAGAAATGAGAGGGCTGCGGATCTTTTGTTTTCTTTGACGAACACGGGAATCAAATATTTGGCGTTGCTGATGATGAAATCTGTTTAGAGAGATATGTTAGTCTTGCGTTTGTTCATTACGACCATGGTGATTCGTGGAATATTAGCCGGTGCAAATGCCTGATCGCGGGGGGTGGGCGACGAATTATTTTGGTTGTAGAAGAAAACTAAAATTCCGAATTAATAATGAGTGAATTAATGACAATGAATACCGCCAAACCCTCTTCTCCTAGGTAGAATGGGAATCTCATTTCAAAAAATTACTTGGGGTTGGTAAGTGCAAATAACTATAAAAACATGCCCATATTGCACCCCCACATTAAACTAGAGATCATCAATTAATACTGCAAATATCATCAATTTAATTTATGAATATGGATATACTTCTTTTCTCAATCTTAATACCCATATTGATGTACGTCTTCCTGAAACTCATCCTCATAATAACGAAAAAATCAAGCACTCCAAATCTTCCACCCGGGCCTATGAAGTTGCCTGTAATAGGAAATCTGCACAACATCATTGGCCCGGAGCCGCCCCATCGGGCCCTACACAAACTTGCGACGAAATTCGGGCCGGTGATGCACCTCCAGCTGGGCGAACTCTCTACGGTTATCATCTCATCTCCCAATGCAGCAAAACAAGTGATGAAAACTCACGACATCAACTTCGCATCCAGGCCGTCCATTCTAGCGACCGAGATCATGAGCTATAACTCCACAAGCATCAGTTCTTCCGTGTACGGTGACTACTGGAGACAACTCAGGAAGATATGCACACTCGAGCTCTTGAGCGCTAAGCGTGTCCAATCTTTCCGACCGATAAGAGAAGAAGCGTTTCTCGACCTCGCCAGGTGGATAGCAAAGGAGGCCGAGGCCGAGGCCGCACCTGTCAATTTTACTCGGAAACTATACTCTTGTTCGTACGCTCTCACGTGGACGACGACACTCGGTAATAAAACCGAGGCTAAGGAGAGATTACTAAACATAATCAAACAAAGTATTGAATTGGCCTCGGGGTTTAACGTTGTCGATTTTTATCCTTCCGTCAAGTTGCTTCAAATGGTGACCGGGTTAAGGAGGAGGATGACCAAGCTGCACCGAGAATCGGATAAGATTTTCGATGAAATCATCCATGACCACATCAAGATTAATGATGATGACGACGATGATCGACATAACAAACGAGAAGACCTACTCGACGTTCTTCTCAAATTCCTGGACAACGACGGGGGGCAAGAGATTTCGTTGACTATGGACAATGTTAAAGCTGTAGTCATGGTTAGTTTTCTTTGATAAATTCAAATTCGCTGGGGGAGGTAATTGACACTAGCAGAAAATTTGCTTATTACTACGAATTTTTTTGCTAGGGTAAAAAAACCGTAATAAAAGGTACTTTTTACCACGGAACAATTTTGAAGTCATAGCAAATATTTGGATTTACCGTAGCAAAAGAATATCTGGTACGGCCATTTACCGTAGCAAAGCTTTTATCGCGCCCGTATATGCTACGGGGCAAATTCGTAGCAAATGCGTAGCAAAAACCTTTTTAGTACAAATTTGATACCTTTTGCTAAGGTTAATGATCGTAGTAAAAAAATCATTTTTCTACTAGTGTGATTAGCAATGCTTTTCTTTAGCTGGAATTGCCATGAATCCGTCCAATTGAAGGGCATTTGCGTCATTTCACAGATGGACCGCCCTAATATATAGCTTCTAAATCAAGATTCTCATATTTTCTTTTGGTAGAAAAAAAACCCCAATTTTGTTTTCTGAAATTAGTGAAATAGTTTGTGTGTTTTTTTTTCTTTTTCAAATTAATAGAAGGGATAAGGATATTAGTATTTGGATGAGAATAATGAAATGACTGAAATGCCCTCAAAGTGGACGGATAAATGACAATTCCGCTAAATAATACGCCAAAAAATTCTGATTTGGGTGAGTTAATTACTATTTGATCATTATTTCAGGATATGTTGGCTGGCGGAAGTGAGACATCAGCCACGACACTAATTTGGGCAATGGTAGAAATGCTAAAGAATCCAAGAATAATGGAAAAGGCGCAAGATGAGGTGAGACGAGTTTACGACGACAAAGGGTACGTCGACGAGTCCAAAATTCACGAACTCGAGTATTTAAGGTCAATTATCAAAGAGACTCTGAGGGTTCATCCACCAGCAGCTTTGTTAAATCCAAGAATATGCACCGAAAAATGCGAAATAAATGGATACGAGATACCCGCGGGTACCAAAATCATTGCGAATACATGGGCTATTAACAGGGACCCCGAATATTGGGAACACGCGGATTGCTTTGAACCCGAAAGATTTCTTGATAGTTCGGTGGATTACAAGGGTAATCATTTCGAGTACATCCCATTTGGTGCCGGAAGGAGAATATGCCCTGCGATAACGTTTGCTCTCGCTAATATGGATCTACCACTTGCTATTTTTCTCTACCATTTCGATTGGAAATTGCCCGATGGAATGAAACATGAAGAATTGGATATGACGGAACGGGTCGGGGCGGAAATTACCCGTGTCGAAGATTTGTATGTTGTTCCGGTTGTTAAAAGACCAGTGCCGCCGCATGTCACGTGATGCAATAAATTAAATGTGTTAATTAGTAATAAAGGGATGCAAGAGTACGTAGCTTGCCCGCCCGTGGTTTAATTATTTACATGCATTGCTTAATAATTAGAAATGTGTTCATCGATCACAAGAATCACTAGCTATGTCTTCGTTACTTGTTCACCATGTTTTGGCCTCTTTGCCACTTTAACAAATAAAAAGTGAAAAAATTTACTGCGTTTGATGGGACCATATCGGCCACATAAGATTATATTGGGCTTTATACGGGTATACTGAATATAAAAATCATCTTGTGTACCTTAACGGGCTAGAATGATCATACCTTGTGCTTGAGAAAATAAACTTAAAATGGATCTCTTTAAACGAATATATGATAGGCCAATGTATATTATATGATGAAGCACTATTTAATGAACAATGGTTCTATTTCTTGAAACACAAGGAAGTAAAATATGTATTGTGTCTTATGATCAAAATGTGGACGCCCCTTAACCTAAGAAATGAACCCATATATATACTACAACTAAACATGGGCCTCATTTTGGGCCATGCATTACATTTTCTAGGCCCAAATCGCCGCCCTACTACTACCTACTCTGCCACGTGGCAGACCACCACTGTATACTTTATCGATTTCCATGTATACTTTATTTTCCCGCAATTTTGATCGGGATTCAAGACATGTGCATTGCACATGACCCTTATAAGAGCTTAATTGTCTTTTCAAATCAAAATTGCTCGCATAAACTTTTTCTTATTATCCTTCGTTGTCTTGTTTCTTCTTTCTTTCTCCATTTCTTCTCATTGAAAAAGTTTTGTAGATGTTACAACTAGTGAAATACACCAGGTGATCATGCACCATTGATCTGCACGTAATAACACACACTCATGTGTAGTGTACTTAGTGGATGGTTATTTGTATAAAGCTATGTGCAAAACCACCAGTACTTTTCAGCCGGTGTAGCATCTCATAGACCCTTTGAAAACCCATTAACTTGATCAAAACCACATCTTTCGTTTCAAAATCAGCGGGCAAATAGCTATGATGTATCGCGTATATGTTTTACACTCAATTTATACTTTCTTACGAGGATTTTTGTGGAATTTTATTGATATATATAATGGTGCTTAATGATTTGATTGTTGTATTTTAAGTACAAATAGAAGAATTAAGCTCTTGAGGAGGAAACGGGCAATTACAAGCAATAATCGAACTTAAAGTAGTCGCTGCCACATGAGACCCCTCTCTCAGAATCATGAAGAATTCTCATACATCAGTCTAAGAATCAACGAAGTCACTGTTGTCTCAAACCGCGGTATGAGTTTGTAGTACAAATCTCATACCACGGCCTGATAGAAGAAAATAACAAAGAAATTGGAATCTCATGGCCGCGGTCGAGAACGAGCCTTAAATCTCTTACCAAGATCCGAGAGATGAATTAAAGAGGCGGAATTGGACTTAGACTTGGAAACTGGTGCCATAAGTTTTAACATAAATAAGAGGTTTCCAAGAAAAGGAGGGAGTCTTTGTGAAGCACGAAAATTCAGATCTTGCAAGAGCATGGAGAGCGAGAAAACGAAGAATTGAAGACGAAGGCTTGACAAATCTTCAGCATAATTCTTCATTTATTTCTCTCTTCTGAATCTATGTGTTTGTATTTAAATTATTGCTTTTCGCTTAAGAACATGTATAGCCAAAATTTCTTAATCTATGACTTTGTTGGAACCCTATGTGAAAAAGAAAATTTAAACTAAAAAAACGGAATGTCAATGCTGAGTTCAGCTAACCAGAGCTCCCGACGACCTGGCCACCGGAAAAAAAAAAAGAAATAAATAAAAAAGATGAAAGAAAAAAAATGAAATGTCAACTAATGTTGAAGTTAACTAATACGAAGTCAACAAATTTGAGCTCCGACCACCCACGCCACTGCCGGAAAAAAATATTAAAAAATAAATAAGATAAAACAAACCCTAATTTGAGTTTGAAAATGGTAAAACTTGTATAAACTTATTTGGATTTATATCAAATGAAACTTACAATAAATGGATGTTACTCAAAAATATAAAAAAACTTGGGCTTATCCCTCATTATGTTTAAGTTAGTGAGGGGGCTATCTCAAATAAACCTTAAATAAAATGAAATATTCCATATCATGAAGATAACATAAGAAGAAAAAGTAGAAGAAAAGAAGTTTTTTCTATGTCAATAGTTGTATTTAGGGCTGGAAAAAAATACCAATTACCATGTACCATGGTATATCAATCAAGAATTATCGAAAAATTACCAAACAACGGTTACTATTATCTACGACTCTACGATACAGTATTGTTGAGTGTATGATTTTCACTCTATTTATACGTTCTTATGAGGCTTTTTGTGGAATTGTATGGATATAATGGTGATTGATGATTTGGCTATTGTATTTTAGGTACAAATTGAAGAATTGAGCTAATGAGGAGGAAACGAGCAATTACAAGTAATAATTGGACTAAAAGTAGTCACTTATTACCAGTATCGAGTATCTTGCTCAATTGATTTTTGCTCTATTGAGTTTGCAACTCAAACACAAGTTCTTAAGTTATGAGATGTTCTATATTATTTTCATGTTGTGTAAGTTTCTCGCTAAGATGTTTCTCATAACAAATTTCCACTTCCTAACACATTTCTACTAGGCATTGTTTTAAAAAACTTACAATAAAAATAAAATTCTTTTTATCTAAATCCTTTGGATATGATAACCATTTATATCTTGTTTTCCCATTGGTACTAATAGAATATAAAAATTTGAGGAGAAATGCCTATACAGTTTCTCAAGAGAATATTTTAAATTTAATCTCTTTTAGGACCTTTTACTACAAGCAAATTTCTTAACTTTTATAATCTAAACTATCCAATACTATTGGGTCATAAAATAAATTTAATCACACAAACACCCATATGTAGGGGTGTAAATGAGACGAGCCGGCTCGCGAGCTTTCGAAGCTTGCTCGAAAAAAGCTCGTACTCGAGCTCGAAAAATCGAGCTCGAGCTCGAGCTCACGAGCCCGAGCTTTTCGACGAGTCGAGCTCGAGCTTCATTTCAGTTGTTCGACAGCTCGCGAGCAGGCTCGCGAGCTTTACCTTTTCTCTATATTTTTTAATACATATTAATAATATATAATAATAGATATTATTAATAATAAATAAATAAATAATAATATTACTTTTTTAATTGAAAAAATAAATTTAATGGATGGATTTTTGGTTGTACCGAGCTCGAGCTCGAGCTCGGGCTCGGGCTCGTTTCGTATACGAGCTCGAGCGCGAGCTCGAGCTCCTTAGAAACACAAAGAGCTCGAGCTCGAGCTAAAACTTATAGGCTCCTCGAGCTCGAGCTCGAGCCCGAGCCTTGGCGAGCTCGAGCTCGAGCTCACGAAATAAGGCGAGCTCGGCTCGAGCTCGGCTCGTTTACACCCCTACCCATATGTATATTTGCCTCATCGGTGGTTTTAACCTCATCTACGGTTAACAAGTACCCCTCTATATAATCAGGTATAATATTTAACTCCCTAATCAATTCTAGATCTAAATCTGAATTTGATTATTTAAATGTATTATCACCTTTTCATTTACCTTTCACTTCATCTCATATTCAATTATAACACTAAGTTTCTTCACTCACACACACACAAAAAAAAAAAAAAAAAAATCCATTTAGCCATAGATTCTCTTAAACAATACAAGTATACAACCATGGTAGCTATTGGTTGGTTAAATATCTTACGATACGATACGATACGATACAAGATGTGAAGTAAAACAATACGAGGTATTTTTACAATCTGATAACCATGAATACAACACTAGTAGTACGTACACTACTATTGATCAAAATAGAATTAATTAAGTAGATCCAAAATATCTCAAAGGACATTTAGGTTTACAAAATAGTACTTTGAGGGAGTTTTAGGGAACTTTTCCTTTACATTCAACTTGTACCGAATGTTATAAGGAAATGCTATTACAGATGCATTAAAAAAAAAAGAAAAACACGAAAAAGATCGACGTAGGTTTTTTTTATTATAGTTTTAGTCCACTGATCATCGGACTAAATACACCATTAACATTAAACCAAACAAATTAATAATTACTTGCGTGCACTATTAAGTACCAACAATCAAAATAAAATTAAGTCGATCCAGAATATTCCAACGGACTTAAGGTTTACAGAATAGATTTGAGGGGGAGCTTTAATTAGTAAACTTTCCCTTAGGGTTTTTTTTTTTCAAGAACGACCATTGTGTAATCTCTAATTGCTGAAAGACCACTCATGTTAAAAAAATTAGCAACAACCCTCTATGAAAGTTAGTCAAAGCCAGTAAGACCCCTAACATATATATTATCGTGTTCTGCACGCGTGCATTGTGCGGCTGGGTGCATGTTTTGACATGAAAAGGCCTAAATACCTTTTAAATAAAAATTTGAAAATTACAGATTAGCCCCGAAATTTCCAATTCAGTTCTTGACAATTTCTAAAACACCCTCTCCCCAAATCATCTCATCGCCGATCAAACTCTCCACCATTTTCACGCAAAACACACACAAAATGCTTCCTTAATGACGTCTTCTTTGCAGATATGTTTTTTTCCTGCAATTTATTGGAAGGTACCTCACCAAAACGAATAAGGTGGATTTGAGATGCGACTATGACAGAACTTCGCGAATCCGCTTGTCTATGATTCTGAGTGTGCAATATGAGGTAGTGGACGGCTGATTTGGATTGTGAGGGGTGGACAACTAACACCGGCAGAGTATTGGGCGGCGGCGGGAGGAGGTAATGGGGGATGTGTATGGTGGTGGAAGATTGAAGGAATAATTTTTTTGGGGTGGGGGTGGGTCGACTGAGAAGACAAGCCTCTTCTCTAATTTTTTTTTTCACGGTTTTCAAATTAGGTTTTGAGTATTTTGTATTTTTAAATTAAGGATGATTTTTCATTTTATTCAAATCAACTATTAAATTTGATAAAAGGGGCGGTGTGCTATATAAAACACAACATAAAAGGGTCTTTGCTAATTCTTTTATCACAAGGGCTTTTATGCGAATTAGAAATAATACAGGGTCTGTGCTATTAGCTGCTTTTCCTTACATT